CAGTGTCCTGGGGAGCTCCATCAGGGATGCCAATGTGATGGGGGCGTGCAGGTGGGCACACAGGACTGCCGTGGGTCACAGCAGTCTTGTGAGAGCATCCAGTGGCTCCAGCAGTGCACTGGGAAAGGCGATTCCCTGACTGGAAATGGTGTCTTAGTGATTAAATTTCAGATTTTCCCAGATGCCATGGAGACTTCTTTGAAAGACATACGAAAAGTGAAAGGATGAGAGAAACTCAGCAGGAGTAGGACTTTGGGGAACAGCACAGTGAGTGGGGGTATCAGTTTATCAGTGGTAGTGGTGTGAGGATGGAATTGGCAAGGACTGTAAAGAGAGCACATGAATCTCACTAGACCAGCTGAAACTGTTGTGGGGGGGAAGACAAGGTCCCTTGCTGAACCTCCACTCTTCATCCCACACTACCTTTGACTGGGAGCTCTCCAGAAAAAAATATTACTCAAATGCCACTTGTATAGGAAAAGCAAACATCCTCTGAATTCTTTTCCCTCTGTGCCTTTCACATAGTACCAAAGTGACCATCCAAACCAGACTCACAGGGAGCATGCCAAGCCCAGCCCCACACTCAAATCCTGTCCCGCAGATGTGGTTGGGATCACTGCCCTACCTGGGATGACCAGTTGTGTGCACGTCACACTGTGAAATCCCCTACTCTGGGAGGATTCAGATGGTCTCACTGAAACTAGGTGAAAAACCCAACCCTGCTGTCTAAATTTGCATAGCCAACATGCATGAGAAACTCCCATCAGTAACAAGGACACTGGTCTCGTAAAGCAGCTGCTCTGTGCTGTCTCTGACCTCTCAGGCATCACCCTCCAGGGACACCTGCAAAATAACTTCACAAAAGAGAATTACAACTTTCAGTAATGGGATGTGTAATTTGTATCTCCACCGAACGCCAGGGATGCACCAGCCTGCTCTGCCCCTGCTCTTGGCTAAATGCTTTTGTATTCCACGGGCAGTGACAACCTTCTCTTCCTCTCTTCACCTGCTATGAAAGATGTAATCCTACTGTCCCAGCTAACCTGCCCTCTGCTCTCCCGGAACTCTTTCTTCCTCTCCCATTACTCGATCTATTAACACAAATCAAACTATGCTTAGAAGAATTCTTCCATGTGAGGGTGGTGAGGTCCTGGCACAGGCTGCTCAGAGCAGCTCTGGCTGCCCCATCCCTGGAAGTGTTCAAGGTCCAGTTGGATGGAATGTGGTCCTCCTCCTTTCAGAGAGGCAACATCCAGCAGTTTTGGACTTGCCCAAGCTCAGACGAGGCACTGGCAAATCTCAATCTGGTCAAATTTTGGCAAGGTCATCTTTTGATGTTCTTTCACATTACAACCACGATAATGAGCATCTCTGACAAGAGAGCAGCATCAGCTCTGAGGTCCATTTCCTTGGCTGGACCAGGAGGTCCATGGCCAAGCAGATAAGAAAAAAAAATCCTTCTCTCATCCCATCAGTCTCCCAACAAATGGCAGGGCTGAACTGGAGTGTTTTCTAAGCAGTTCTCCTCCACCACCCCAGCTCTCCTCCAGACTCCTAATATACAACCACAGTTACATTCCCCCCAAAAAGCAGCCCAAGGACTCCCTAAATGAGCACCTGAAAAGATGCAGAGGCCTCAGATACCCAGAGATAAAAGCAGTCATTAAAAAGGCATAAACAAAGGGCATCGCGATTGTTTTGCCACATCTCCAGACTAGGGAGGAGGCTGAAATAACCTTTACATTATCCCATTAGCATTTTCTAGTGAAAACAACAGCATTTTAGGAGGCAGAACAATGTCTTTTCTTATCATCCAGAAAGGTCAAAGGTATTTATCTGATTTAATATTTTATAATTGATATTAAGTGACACAGAAGAATAAGGGAGGCAGGCAGGTGATGGCTGCGGTGACACAGCAGATGGTGCTCTCTGCTCTTCCAGCAACGTCTGGGGCTGAGCAGGAGCCAGGTCTGGGAGCAACACCTCTAGTCCATTAGCTCCACAGAAAAGAGGACTTTCTGTTATGTCTTGCGGTGCTGAGGACCCCAGATGCCAAGGCCTCCACGCTCACAATGCTGCCACTTTTTTCAGTGGTCACATCTGCAGGAGCTGATGTTCCAACCAGTGCAGGCCAGGGGATGAAACATCTCAGAGAATCAGAGAATCACAGAATCATTAAGGTTGGAAAAGCCCTCTAAAATCTGAGTCCAACCATTAACAGAGCGCTGCCAAGGCCAGCACTAACCCACATCTACATGTTTTTTGAACACTTTTAGGGATTGTGACTCCACCACTGCCCTGGGTAGCCTATTCTAATGCCTGAGCACCCTTTCCATGAAGATATTTTCCCTAACATCCAACCTAAACCTCCCCTGACACAACCTGAGACCGTTTCCTCTCATCCCGTCCCTTGTTCCTTGGGAGCAGAGCCTGACCCCCACCTGGCTCCCCCCTCCTGTCAGGGAGTTGCAGAGAGCAAGAAAGTCCACCCTGAGCCTCCTTTTCTCCAGGCTGAGACACGCCAGTTCCCTCACCTGGTCTTCATCACACTTGTGCTTCAGACCCTTCCCCAGCTACCTTCCCTTCTCTGGACACACTCCAGCACCTCAATGTCTTTTCTGAAGTGAGGATCTTATTGTGAGTGTACCTCCACCCTGCCTGTCCTCTGTCCTTCCCCTGGTTGGGCAGGGTGGTGGCACAACCCTGGCCAAACTGCTGCATAGTGGGAAGGGGTGAGACAAAACCTCTGTGGAAAGAAGAGGGAGAGTGGGAAAAGAGGGAGGATATAAGGGCTGGGGTCTCAACACTAGGCCACAGTGCCCAGTTGGAAAAAAGGCAGGCAGTGCACACACAGAGTCAGGCATCAGTGCTCTCCACGATGATCACTTTGAGTCTGGAAGAGCAGCAGGTCAGGACCAGCACACCTCTCTGGGCCCCCAAACTGCCCCATCTCATGCACCCTATGGGTAGGTAGGTACAAGGGTCCAGCGTTACAGTGGGTGCCCCATTGCTGCCGAGGGTCTGTGACCATGCAGTCCCTGGGTAAAGTATCTCCTATTTTTCATCTTTGGTAGGGAATGGAAATGAAGACATTATTCTTTGCAGAAACATTTTGGAAAGTCACAGCTGAAATCTCTCACTTGTCTCTTCCGTTTATTTTTACCACTTAATAACACGTCTGTCTCTTCAACTATTCTTGACACTGTTGCAAGAAAATTCAACTCTGCGAAGACAGTTTTATCAAAGAGACATTGGCTCTTCATTACTGTGTGACATCACATCAGCTCTTCTCCTGTGCATGAAGTCTCCTCTGTAATTTCAAAGGGTGTCTTCTATCTCTTTGAGAAGGTGATATGACCAATATATTTGAAATTGTTGCTTGTTATGCAAAAGGTTATCCAAACTGTGAAGATAAGAAGCAACTTCAAGTGCTTCAAGGATTCTCATTTGTTTGGTGATGTTTTTCTCTTCACTGCCACATGATGTCACAGACCTAATTTCAAGTGATTAGTAACAATGGCAAAACAGTCCTTGAAATAATCTGTGATAGAGAATTCTGGGACAACATGAAGAGGCTGTGCAATCAATAATTTCTCACAATTAATAATATAAAGTTCTGGTCTGCAGACACCAGACCTCCTCCTGCCTCCACTTTCCAGAGGTGCCACAGCTCTCTGCAGAGGGCCAGTGTGTCTGAGTGCAGGTCAGTGCTGCTCACCTCCTTTTAAATTTGAATAATCTTGGGTTTATTGTCTTGGCAGTGGATCACTTCATTCACCTCTTTTGTTTAAAACTATACTTCTGGTTTCATTTGTGAACCATCCACCTGAAGGGGAGGCGCGGAAGAACTGAATCTGAACCACCCGACATTTTCAAATGAACTGTTTTACCACCTTTCCTTTATTGTCTAGCCCTGCCATAAGTCTTTGGTTTTATAAATTTTGGAACCAGCCAAGCTGAGCCAATGTTCTTATTTGCTATTTGGACAGAGAGCAGGGATATTTCAGGGATAGAGTTTTGGAACTCCCAGTTTGCTGTTCAGAATCACTGAGAACATGTATACTCTTTTGAGCATATTCTGGTAGTATAATCCCAGCAGTGTTGGTTGGGAGGGACCCAGACTCATTTCCTCTGCCCTGTTTTTTCAATCCTTTTGGGTGCACTTACCTTGTTTTGTCAGGAACTGCCAAACCTCAGCAAATGAACCAAGAACTGCCTCCCAAATGAATTCTATAGCAGAAGGAGAGCATATCAGGCTGTTGTCCAAGGTCCTTTCCTTCAATACATCTGCACTAGCAGAGAGGAAAAGAAGGGCATCTATCTAAAAATAAAACTATCAAACATTTAGGTGTTGCTATTTTCATCACATATTGTTTTAAAGCTTCGGTTCACTTGGTGCCTCTTAAAGAAAATACAGCCTTGGGTGAAGGGAAGCACCTGTATTACCTACAGAAATGCTTTTGAGTGCTGAGCTGTTTGCAGCCTCTGGGCTCAGAAATGAGACAAGTAGAGGGTGATGCCTGTGGAAGGTATGGAGGCAGAGAGGGAATGTAAATTGGAGCTGATTTCTTGGTCCCACTTTACCTGCTGTTGCCTGGGTGCCCCTTCCTTCCCATCCTTCCAGCCAGCACAGGGAGCTGTGGAGCCCAAGACTGAAGATCAGGAAGGATGTGGTCAAGAGACACACAGTGATCTTGGGATGACTTGTCTGTCGTGGATGCTGGGAGATGTAAACACAGACTCACAGGAAAATTTACAGGCACTCAACAGTTTATCCACCATGAGGGAGTTTGGATTACACATGTGAGCGGGGGATGAAGGCAGACACAGCTTCACCCCCTCCTACAATGACTCCAACTATCATGGCCAGAGGCTCAGGACACAATCGAACTCCACCTTTTCAGTTCAGCTTATGTTCCCAGACATAACACACCATCATCTGAGGGGCATGGGAACATGGAGGTTCCCCTGGGCTTGGCTGCAGGGTCTTATTGAAGGAACAGGAGAGCTGGAGACAAGTGCTGTGGTTGACACCAGGACAGGAGGGCCACTAAGGCTGATCCAGCCACTCAAGAGCCACACTTACAAAGGCGATGGATAAATCACAATGAATCCTGACTTTTTACATCTACACATTTCACTTGACATCATTTCATCCTATCTAGTAATTTGATCCACCTTCTAAATCCAAATATCAGGACTTTCAGTTACCTAAAAAAAGAAACCATGCTCACACATAGGAGCCCAGAAGCTAGAGTTGAAAGCATAAAACCCCAGTAGGTCAACACTGAGTCACACCCTAGCAATTAGAGGGAAAATGAACACAGTTAACTCAGAAATACGTGAAGCTTTGTGCATTCAAAAACACCAATAGTGTTTTATTCAGAAAAACATAAAGACTGGCTTTGAATGAGATTAACATTCACATGAGGTGATATTTGCCATAATAATGTGAGCCAGAAACAAGTCTTGTCCCAACGGTACAGGAGGGTGTGTATAATCCTCATAGAGGCAATAAACCCCCCCCAGCTCCTCCCCAGTTACTGCAGGGCCATTCTCACTGACCTGTCCTCAGTGGCTGCTGGTGTTGAGTTGATCTTTGGTTCTCCCTGCAAATAGTTTATTATTTTCTGGTTTAGCTTCTCCATCAGTCCATCTTATTTAAACTACGTGCTGTGAATTTTTTATTTTTTTGAGCTTTACATTTTTGCCTTGGAGACTTTCTAGTCTGCAGCCAGATGGGGCCCCTCTTCTTTCCCTTTGCTCTACTCACTGTGAGGAGAATAAAAGCCTCCTCTGTTCTCTTTGGACAAGTTTCCAGCACTTGTAGGATGGTTTATCTGGAAGGATCATTTCAGATTTTTCTGTGCTGCAACAGACACCACAGACAGGGATGTATCTTCACTGCTGAAAGAGAGCAAAACTGAGAAAATGCTCTTTCCAACCCTCTTTTAAATTTTGACAGAGCTCGGGCCCTCTCTCCATGTTACTACCCTTGACCTCTCAAGAAATTTTGCTCTCCAAGCTCTTTCTTTCACAGGACCACAACAGCCAGAAGGGATCTCCAGTGCTCTCTGGTCCAGCACCCCACCAGCTTGGATCAGGTCACCAGCATCTTCTGCAGTCCAGAGTAAACTGCCCTTCAAGGATGGAAACCCGACACTTTACTGGGGTCACTGGCACCTGTGGAACTATTGGATCACCCTTCCAGCAACCACCTTTATCAAATAGATATTAGGGAAGCACTGTCCACCCAGGACATCCACTGGGCCCTGCTCACCCTGTGGCTCTCTTTGGACAGCTGGTTGTCCATGGAAGGTAGTAATTGACGTTGCCCACAGCACAGACAGACACTCAGAAAAGCAATATGCATTAATAATAACTTTTTTGAGGTTATTCTTTATCAATCCCATCTCTCTTGTAGGACACTGCTGTTGGGGAGCCCAGCTGGTTCTGGGCTCTCAGTAAACTGAGGTACTGAAGATGGAACTTCTTACACCTGGCAGAGGGTTAACCACGGACAGTAGGACTGTGACACAGTGGGTTTCCTGTTAGAATGTCAGCCTATTGTGTTAGGACATGTGGCTGTATGTCCAATCATAAGTTGTTATGATAGTGGTAACCCAATGCTGTGTGTACATGTGTCACCCCAGAACTGTATAAAGGTAGCTGTACTGTTGCAATAAAAAAGCTGCTGGTATCCTGAAACCCATGTCGCCTCCCTGCCTCGACTGCGACACACTGTACCTGAGAGGAACTGGGGACTGCACGGGGCTGAACATCCTTTAATGCCCCTTGGACCATGCTGGAAGGGGCAGGTGTCAGTGTATCTGCTACTCCTGGTGGCTGTTCCTGGTGGAAAAACCAGCCTCCTCCTAAACACACACTGGACAGAACTTCCTTTTCCTGGAAAGTGACTGTCACCCCAATTAAAAATACATTCTTCAGAAACACATAAGTGCATAACTTAACACCTGCTTTGACACAAGCATGGGAAGAAAACCACACTGTGACCCTGGGTAGAGCTCACACCATTTCACCTGGTCCCCTTGGTGCAGCCCCATGTCTCTTGCACAGGTGTGATGGGAGCCAGCAGCCATGGCTGGGACTGGAGCCAGGGCTGTAGTGTTTGGGGGTTTCTCATCACATTTAATGCTGCAATGTTTGTTTTCAGGCAGAAAATACCAGCAGTGCCCTTGACTTGTAGCAATGCCTTGGCAGTGTTACGACTGTCCACAGGGGTGGCACTGTCCTCTGCAGACACCACAGTGACTGCCCACTGATCCCGATGCTCACGTGGAACCGGGGGTAGTCCCAGTGGGCTTCAGGCCCTGCACACCACAGAGTGCAGATGGGGGAAACCTTTCCCAGAAAGCATCCTTGGCCTCAGTGGGACAGGGCGATGCTGAGACTGGGAAGCAGCTGTGGATTCTGATGGATTCAGCACTTGAAGAGCTGTTGCCTCAATTAAAACCAGGGCAGAGGGTCAGGGGCCAGCCCGAAGCAGTGCTGAGCAGAGCTCACCCAGGTCGCTCTCGTCGTTCTCCTCGGGCTCGCTGTTGAAGGTGGAGGGGCTGCTGCTGGGCAAGCTGTGGCCAGAGCCTGTCCTCAGGGATCCTTGTCCCTTTGGGTCCGGTGTGTCCTGGAGGCACACACTGCCTGTGCCACAAGGAGTTTGCTGGGAGTCTGGCTGAGAGTCGTTCCTCTGGCTGAAAAACTGCCCCAGCAGGGATTTCTGGAGGGTCGTTCGCAGGCTTTCACAAGTCCTCTGCTTTGTGCTCGGCTGGGTGTAATGCAAATCCAACTGCAGGACCACATCCGTCTGAAAGGGGAGAGTGGAGGACGCTAAGCGAATCAGAGACTCAGACTGGAAGCAGTGCTTTCCTGCTGTTGCTGCCAGACATGAGAGCCTTGGCTGGCTGTTGAGCAGGCTCACAGCCCCATGCTGTGGTGTGATGGAGCAACGCTACTGCCAGAGAAAACAAGCTGTTACATACTCACACAGCTCATGACGTCTGTGGGCCTCAGCCACGGATTCTGGATTTCAGGACTTGTCCTGAAATCAGGCTACCTCACTTGGGATCTCATCAGCCCCATCAGTGAGCCCCAGTGCTCACTGTCACTGTGAGCATCATACCCAGGATGCTGGCACGGGGGAGCAGGAGAGGAGGCAAGAAATGGCACAATGTCCATCCTGACCGTGGCTGGGACCACTGCCCAGGGGAGAGGAAAGCATGAAGGGAGGGATATGAACTACTCCCAACCCTGGAAGTGTTCGAGGCCAGGTTGGATTGGGCTTAGAGGAACCTGGTCAATTGGAATGTGTCCTGCCCGTGGCAGGGGGGTGGAACGAGGTGAACTTTAAGGTTCCTTTTAACCCAAACCATTCTGGGATTCTAGGAACTGAAACACACATCACACTGTAAAAGGCAACAGCTTTATGTAGCAACATTCCACAGGGATCCATTCACAGCCTAGCACTATTTTAGAATTTTATAAAAGATGAAGAAATCAGAAAATAACCATGGCAGCCAAAACCCTGAAAGCAAACCTCCAGCATGGGGCTGTGCCTGAAATGCCTGGCTGTACAGAGCAGGGAGATGTGTAATGGAACAAGAAGATTTTGACAGGCAATGCAGGGTCCAGGTCTCCTATCTGCACTTAAATGCAATGCAGAACAGTTGGGAAAGGTTCAGAAAAGAGCTCCAGGAACAATCAAGGACTGGAAGCATTGCCATATGCTGAAGCACATTACGTACTCAGCAAATGGAGCTCGCTGTGGGCAGCAGCAACCCAGGTTGAGAGCAGTGCTTGGTGCAAGATCCACTGGCTGTCCCTCCTGGGGAGGAGAAAAAAATCAAAGTAGAAACAAGGTGCACACTGCTGGGAGAGACAAGCCAGGGGACAAGCAATTCTGCCTCTCTCATGGTCTTTAAAGAGTTTGAGGATGTTTTGAAATGTGTCAAAGAGGCATACTTTGGATCAGGCTTGGAAGAGTTACTCTGATGACAGGAGTTCCTGGCCAGCTCATGAGCACATCTCTCAGGTAAGAAGTGAAGATATCCTTCATGTGAAACACTTGGGCAAGTCTGACCTCCTCTAGGCTGATGGAGCAAAGAACAGCCTTCCTGGACATGTAGCAAAGAAAAACAGAGCAAGCTATGATGGGTGATGCCTCTTTCCACTCCCAGGGCAGCTGCTGTGGATCAGGTTTGTTGGGAGGGCCAAGCAGGGGAGACAACACAAAAGCAAAGAGCATCCATGCTCAGGCTTTGCAGGCTGATCTGTAAATCAGAAAGGTTCTACTGAGGTGGAAAAGGTGAGGTGAAAGAGGACAGTTCCTCTCTTATGGAGACAGGCTGGGAGAGCTGGGGGTGTTCAGCCTGGAGAAGAGAAGGCTCCAGGGAGACCTCAGAGCTCCTTCCAGTGCCTAAAGGGGCTCCAAGAGAGCTGGAGAGGGACTTTGGACAAGGGCCTGGAGGGACAGGACAAGGGGGAATGGCTTCCTACTGCCAGAGTATGCAGTTAGATGGGATACCAGCATGAAATTCTTCCCTGTGAGGGCATTGAGGCCCTGGCACAGGTTTCCCAGAGAAGCTGTGGCTGCCCCATCCAGGGAAGGACTTGGAGCAACCTGGGATGGCGGTAAGTGTCCCTGCCCATGGCAAGGGGGTGAAACAGGATGAGCTTTAAGGTTCCTCCTAATCCAAGCCAGTCTGTGACTCTGTGAAAGAAGATGGCTTTTGTTCCTTGAAGATCAACAAGCTCCTCTAACACTGATCTGGATGTGATACTGGCACATCCAGCTGCAGCCGTGGGCATGGGGAGTACCAGTTATGGGAGGATGTAGGAGAACAGCAAAGAAGCACCTGGAAGCTCCCTACCTGAATTTTCTGAAGTCCACAGAGCTGGAAGACGCAGTCCAGCTCCTCCCACTTGTACATGGAGGCAAGCAGAGTCTCCACATGGTCCAGATGGCTCTCCCTCTGCATGGCCAAGGTCTCCACCTCCTGGATCAAGAAAACAAGGGGGAATGCAAAGAAATTTCAGCATCACTATGGAGCATTGAGGCACAAGTGCCCATCAAACATGCTGCTTCTCTGCACACAGCAATGCCCAGGGCTTTGATTGACATGCTGCATGGTGGAAATGCTGTGTATCCTAATGGAAGTACTACAGGGAGCAAGCAACAGAGATTTTAGACACTCACCTTGTGAGTATCAATGAGAAGACCAAGCTAAACATCCCCTGAGTACATCTGCTGGGAAAACTGGAGTATAATGGGATTTGCAGCAGAGCAAAGAGAAGCTACAGCCGGTACCACAACCATTGGTAATGTCAGCACAGTGTCATGGAGGCAGCAAGTTTTCCAAGGGCATAGCTGGAGGAAGCTCAGAGTTGAGCTGTGCTGAATTAGCCCCCCACCATCTATAGAACTGCCAATTCTTGCTGAGTTTATCCAGCTTAGCCAAAACAGCCCTATCTCTATGAGATCCTCTTCAGTATTGATCATATCTTGGAGTCACTAATAGCACAAGAACGGACAAGGGCCTTTCAAAATCATAGATTCATGGAATATCCTGAGTTGGAAGGGATCCATAAGGATCATTGAGTCCAACTCCTGGCCCCACACAGGACAACCCCAAGAATCCCACCATGTGCCCGAGAGCATTGTCCAAATGCTCCTTGAGCTCCAGAAGGGTTGGGGTCATGATCATTTCTCTCTCTTTGGATTTGAGCCCTCCAGGATGGGTAACAGATCACAGTCCAGCAGCCCCTTCTAAAAGGTGCTTCCCTCTGTCAGCTTGCTCTGGCAACTGTCCCAGTGCAGTTCTTAACAGAAGTTAAGGATTGGGCATGGTGATGAAGGATGCTAGTCTCAGGGGTCTGGGAGTCCTGATCTATGTGTAGAAGCACTTCTTGTTTCATAGAATCATAGAATTAACTGGGTTGGAAGAGACCTCCGAGATCATCAAGTCCAACCCTTGATCCAACCCCACTGTAATTACTAGATCATGGCACTCAGTGCCACATCCAGCCTCATCTTAAAAACCTCCTGGGATGGTGAATCCACCACCTCTCTGGGCAGGTCATTCCAATGCCTGATCACTCTCTCTGTAAAGAACTTCTTTCTAATATCCAACCTAAACGTCCCCTGGCAGAGCTTAAGCCCATGCCCTCTTGTCCTACTGCTGATTGCCTGGGAGAAGAGACCGACCCCCACCTGGCTACAACCTCCTGTCAGGTAGTTGTAGAGAGTGATGAGGTCACCCCTGAGCCTCCTCTTCTCCAGACTAAACAACCCCAGCTCCCTCAGCCTCTCCTCATAGGACTTGTGCACAGGTCCCTTCACCAGCCTGGTTGCTCTTCTCTGGACTCACTCCAGCACCTCAGTATCCTTCCTGAACTGAGGGGCCCGGAACTGAACACAATAGTCAAGGTGCGGCCTCACCGGTGCTGAGTACAAGGGAAGGATCACTGCCCTGCTCCTGCTGGCCACACTGTTCTTGATGCAGGCCAGGATGCCATTGGCCTTGGCCACCTGGGCACACTGCTGGCTCATGTTCAGCTTCCTGTCAGTCAGCACCTCCAGATCCCTTTCTGCCTGGCTGCTCTCCAGCCACTCTGTCTCCAGCCTGTAGTGCTGCAGGGGTTGTTGTGGCCAAAGTGGGGGACCCGGCACTTGGCCTTGTTGAACTTCATCCTGTTGGAATCAGCCCAACTCTCCAGCTTATCCAGGTCCCTCTGCAGAGCCCTCCTGCCTTCCAGCGGGTCGACACTCCCTCCCAACTTGGTGTTGCAATTAGCAATTGCAAATTTGCTAATGATGGACTCAATCCCCTCATCTAAATCATCTATAAAGATGTTAAACAGGATTGGGCCCAGCACTGATCCCTGGGGAACACCACTGGTGACCGGCTGCCAACTGGATGCAGCCCCGTTCACCAGCACTCTCTGGGCCCGGCCCTCCAGCCAGTTCTTAACCCAGCACAGAGTGCCCCTGTCCAAGTCATGGGCTGCAGCTTTTCCAGGAGTATATTATGGGAGACAGTGTCAAAGGCTTTGCTAAGTCCAGATAGACAAATCCACAGCCTTCCTCTTATTCACCAGGCGGGTTACCTGATCATAAAAGGAGATCAGGTTGGTCAGACAGGACCTGCCCCTCCTAAACCCGTGCTGGGTGGGTCTGATCCCTTGTCCATCCTGTAGGTTCTGTGTGATTGCACTCAGGATGATCTGCTCCATAACCTTGCCAGGCACTGAGGTCAGGCTGACAGGCCTGTAGTTTTCCAGCTCCTCTTTGCAGCCCTTTTTGTAGATCGGTGTGACATTCACCAACTTCCAATCCTCCCTGGAGAGCCAGGACTGTTGGTAAATGATGGAGAGCGGCTTGGCAAGCTCTTCTGCCAGCTCCCTCATCACCCTAGGATGGATCCCATCTGGTCCCATGGACTTGTGTGGATCCAAGTGGCTCAGTAAGTCACTGACTATTTCCTCCTGGAATACAGGGGGGCTCTTCGGCTTCCTGTCCCTGTCTACCAGCTCCAGAGGACAGCTGTCCCAAGGGCCACCTGTCCTACTGGTGAATACTGAAGCAAAGTAGGTGTTAAGTACCTCAGCCTTCTCCTCATCCCTGTTAACTACGTTCCCCCCAAAGTCCAACAACAAATGGAGGTTTTCCTCGCCCCTCCTCTTGTTATTAATGTATTTATAGAAGCACTTTTTGTTATCCCTAACAGAAGTAGCCAAATTGACTTCAAATTGCGCTTTTGGCTAATTTTCTTTCTGCATGACCTAGTTATACTCCTAAACTCATCCTAAGTAGCCAGCCCTATTTTCCATAGTCTGTAAGCTCTCTTTTTATCCCTCATCTCCTTCAGAATCTCCCTGTTCAACCAAGCTGGTTGTCTACCCCGCCGGCTTGCCTTTTGGCACACTGGTACAGCCTGTTCCTGTGCACTCAAGACTTCCTTCTTGAAGCACGTCCATCCCTCCTGTACCCCCTTGTTTTCAAGGGTTTTTTCCCCAGGGTATGCTCTGGACCGGTCTTCTGAACAGGCCAAAATCTGCCCTCCGGAAGTCCAGCGTAGAGGTTTTATTGGTGGCTTTCCCTGTATCCCTGAGTATTGCAAACTCTATTATTTCATGGTCACTGTGCCCCAGGCAGCCTCCGTCTGCTACATCTCCCACCAGCCCCTCTTTGTTTGTAAACAACAGGTCTAGTGGGGCCCCACCCCTGGTAGGTTCATTTACCAGTTGGAGCAGGAAATTATCCTCTATGGAGCAGGAAATTATCCTCTATGGAGCAGGAAATTATCCTCTATCCCACAGTTTCGGCCCCAAATGGGCTTTGGCTTTCTGAAGCCAAGGTTTGTGTGCTTGAATCATATCTTTACAGTCCTCCTACATCACCTGCCCCTGCTTCCACCTCTTGTACACCTCCTTTTCACGTGTGAGCTCAGGTAGGAGCCCCTAACACATTCATGCAGGCCTCCTGCTGCCTTTGCTTGACTGCCTGTTCATCAGGATCACTGAAAATCCCCCAGCTCTCCAGGGCTGTGTCCCACAGGAACACAGCTCTCCAGTCTAGTGACTTCAAGACATTCAACTAGGAAAGAAGTGACCTGATGTGTTTGCCTTAGCAGGAGGGCTGGACTGGATGATCTCAGGAGGTCCCTTCCAACCCCAAACATTCCATGGCTCTGATCTCAAGGGATCAATTAAAACTCTGACACACGAGATTCAAAGCCCTCAGCTACAGCAATTCATTAACCACAAGAATCTACACTCTGCTAAATTCCCAGCATCCACAGCCTCCTGTTCCACAAACCAATCCCTTCCATATTCTCCATTATCATTTTTGGCTGTGTAGGAGAAAATGGAGAAAAGCATTTTCTAAATTAATTTTTTAGCCAATTCATACTTATTTATAAACCTTTCCCCATGGTGGAATACATTTTTTAATGAAGATGATGCCCAGGAATTGGTAAGGCCAGAGTTTTAGCTGAAATACAGATATTCTAAATAAATGGGGGAAGGGTGATCAGAAAGGCCATTAGGTCTAGCAGCTCCAGATCAAGTGACTGGAAAACAAGGAGATCCAACATAAAGGTTTTTAAAAAGTAAGGATTCAAACAGTATGGAGAAAAAAAAATGGGAATGCCCTAGCTGTCTGCATCATTCCATTCTACACATGTGCTAGAGCAGCTTCAGTGCTTGTCAGGTAAAAATGCAAGTCAGGTAAGACATAGGATGGGAGGGAATATGGGACAACTAAAGAAAACTGATCAATGCCAGAAAATTCTATCCTAATTATCTCTGGCAAACACACAGCAAGACCAGTTAAATCCCTTTGATAAGCAGAATGTGGCGAGTCACTTCAGCAACCCCAACTCCCTCAGCATCCCCCGGGAGGGCTGGCAAAGGGATCCTGGCAGAAGCCCTGTGCCCTCCTGCAGACACCTGTGCACTCCTGTGGTCCCAGGGGTGTGGGTGTGGCCTCTGTGGGACAAGTGGGGCAGGTGCCAGGGCCGGTGTGGTCAGAGGATGGTGGAAGGACATTCTGCCGCCTCAGCAGACACCACTGGAGGTCAGTGTGAGCCAGTACCGCCATGCAGTGCGACAGGGACAGGGATCCCATTGCCCTGGCTGTACTGGGGTCCCTTTTTTTGTCTCCTCAGCCCTCTTAAGACAGCTCCAGAGGCAGGAGCCCATGGCTGGGCTCCCCTTTGCCCTGAGTCACTGATGTGGGGTAGATGCATATCTGCTCACACACACACACACACACACACACACACACACACACACACACACACACAAACATTTTTCATGCATGATTAGGGAGCTCACAATGGGAAACAATGCTCCAGCTTGGGAACAGGTAGGATCAGGCTCCAAACCTCCTGGATACACCACGCTGCATCAGTGACCCCAACGTACTGAGGAGCAGTTTCCCTCCACAATCAACAAGGGCTGAAAAATCCACTGCAATCAAGCTACACTTCAGCAAAAGGACTAAAGAAAACAAGGGAGATGGTTAGCAGAAAGGAGCAGCAAGTTAAATCCTTAGGGGTGGCATGGAGATCATGGAGACCACCAGGAAAGACAACGCTGGGCACATGGTCTGTAAGGAAAGGTGTGAGAAAGGGTGCAAGGAAGCTGGTATGGCTCAACAGGGAAGAAATATGGAATATGAGCAGAGCAGGCTAAGAATGCATAATTCAAAAAGCCAGATCTGCTTCCAAACATGGAAAAGAAAATGCCTCTTCACCTCAGTCAGATTAAATGCAATTAATTTAATCAAGCAGGCCAGAAATCAACCTGAGGGGTAACTGGTGAAAGCCATCAAACTGGTGCCAAATCCTTTTTGTGATGCATGAGGAGCAAGGCAGGCAGCCTGTAGTGAACCCACTGAGGTGTGGAAGGAACCTGAAGGAGGTGTGTGCAGAGGAGGAGATCCTTTTCCACCTGGGATCAGCCTTTCCCAGCCCTCAGGACCCCCTGGGCTCAGCCCAACCATGCTCCCACTTGTGCCCTGGGGAAAGCAGCCCAGGAAGGCGAGCTTAGAGGACTCACCGGGGGCTGGCAGAGCAGGAGGAGAGGGGCAGTGACGTGGGGGGGCTGCAGCTTTGCACATACGGACATCAGGTTGGAGAAGAGCCGCAGGAAGCGGAGCTCTACCCGGGCCCCGCAGGGGAAGGTCAGCATTCTGCTCAGCAACTCTGGAAGGGAAATTCAAGAGGGATCAGCTCCTCAAAGGGCCCAGCTAAGATCTCCCTGCAGCCCAGTATCCCTGAGGGGCACACGGACCTCCAGCCCTCTCCTCCCCATGCCCTGCATGGCTCACCGTGGCTGTGTCCCCAGCACTCGGCACCTGAGCTGGAGGGACAGATGGGGTCTGTCAGGGACCGGGCTTCCTTCAGGGTGTGTTTGATCTCCATTACCTGCTTCCCAGTGACCAGGGGATCCCGGCCAATGTCTGTGGGAAAGAGATGGAGACACATGAGTCACTCCAGGTTCCTTATTGATCTCCCTGCCTTTCAGACCTTACATCAACGTCTCCATACTGCTACCAGGCTACTGAGACCTCACATGGGGCATAGCCTGAGATCTGGATTTAAGGGAGGAACAACTGGTTGGCTGGTTGGGATGGTGTGGTGCAGAACCACTTGGTCTCTGGTCTCTCTTTTCACCCCTTCTACTGAAGTGAGTGGTTTCTCACTTGTTCCCTCACCTTCTAAGACATCCTCCAACATGTGTGTAACCTTCTTCTCTTTCAGAATGTGTTTCTTCAGGTATTTCATGAAGATCCCAGAGCTGAACTCCCCATCCTGCAGTTCATAGGCTTCTGCATCTTCGCTCCTGCAAGAATAAGGATATTTCTTCAGAGTCCTCACATTTCTGCACCAGGCACAAAGTCCTGAGGGTGAGTCTGGGCTTGTCAACTCCATCCAAATACTGTTGGCTGAGCTTCTCAAGGAATAACACAAAGTGCTTGGGTTTGGCCCAGGAGATGGTGGGAATGGCACAAGATGGGAAAAAGCAGTGGAAGGGGATAGGATAGGAAAGCACTGTCTCCAGCCTAGGCAGGTGACAGAAGGCAAAACGCCAGAAAAGCTGCCTCCAAAAGATGGAGCAGGAAACAACACCCATCATTTCAGGAGGCTTCAGGTGGGCTGTTCATGGCACATGAACCTGGGGAATCAGGCTCAGGCCTGAAGGACAGGTGACAGGAGCTGAGGTCACCTGAAGCACAGGTTGCCATGAGTGACGGCAGGAGGAAGGACAGAAATGTCTGAAAAGCAAATGCAGCAGATGGAGGGTGAGTCAGAGGAAACATAATGAAGCCCTCTCCAGCCTCCAAAGCCACTGTGCATGAAAGGATGAGAGGAGGTATGGCTGTGTCAGCATCTGGTCCTGTGTGCCAGCGTGGGGACAGCAAAGTGCACTTACGTGGCATAGCCATAGACAGTATTTCCCCAGGGCTCCAGCGGCTGCACCTGGGAGAGGGCACGTCCTGGGTTGTACCTGGAAGAGAAAGAAAAGGCATGAGTCAGTGTTGAGGACATCTGCCAGCTGGAGGGGACAAAGCCCACAGGCTTCCCCACATCCATCTCTAAGGGATGGCAATAGGATCAACCCTCACCTCAGATCCAACCACAGAGATGAACGCTGGGAGTCCCACCAAGAACCCAAACCACAGAGAAATGAGTAGGTAGGTCCAGCTGTAACCTATCTGCACTGGTGAGCTGCTCCCTGCCCCACACTGAACCTGGAGCTGTGGGGACAACCTTCCCTCCTCCCTCTCGAGGTTGGATTTTAACAACTCCATGCAGCAATAAAGTGCAGAGAACACACAGGGTCACTGTGGCCCAGTGGACAACTGTGCCTGCAGAAGTCAGAGGTGTGCACAACACATGCTTACGGCTCAACTGCCTGTGCCGGGGTCTGGGGCACCCCACAGGGCCCCTCCAGACCACACACACACTTCTGCCTCAGGGAACCAAAGCAGGTTACAGCATAGACACCCCCAGATCTGAGAGATGGGATCAGAAGACACACACCCAGGTCTTGATGACCAAAAATGACTCCGACACCCTGGTCTAGATGCAGCTGAATGAGTGCAGCTCCTGCTATTTCCAAAATCAGGTAGAACCATGGGTGACAGGCCTGGTTTTCACCAAAAAAGATCTCATGGTTGCATTGAATGGTCAAGCCTTGCCCATCTGACAGCATGGAGACAGGCTGCCTCCAGTTCATACCAGTGATGTGGAGTTGTTCCCAGTCACATAGTGACAAAAGTCAGGCACAGAGGAAGCGTTATTCCACATTATTCAGTTCCAGCATAGCTTCCTGGGGCTGAAGCTGGCACACTGAGGAGAGCAGAAGGGATGGCTGTATCACCAGCAGCCAGTGTCACCTACTGCTGGTAGCACAGTCTGGAGATGTTTCAGGTAGGATTCAACTGGCTTCTGTAAGTTGTCTTAAAGATGATCAGAAGAGAAAATGTGAGAAAGGAGATATGCTTCTAAATATGAATATTGAGATTTATCTGCTCCTCAGCTGCTCCCACATTAATGCAGAAATCTGGCACTCCAGGCCCAAGGATAAATCAGAGAATTCCTAGCATTCACCCAAAATCAGCACATAAATGTATGAGGCTACACACAGGCTCCATGTTCCTGGTTCCTCCTCTGCTAAAGCTGAACATCTGCTCCACTTGGCAAGGGAGGATGTGCTTCTCACCACCCCAGCATTTCCGATGCCAACATATGGGGTGAGGAGATGCTCTGGGTGAGGTCCCTCCCAGCACAGACACAGCTCCTCCTGGTTTGTGCACAAGCTGCTGACAGACCTGCAGCATCAGTTGGACCAAAAGGGCCTTGGGAAAGGAGACCCTGGGAGCCTTGTTTTACACAGTGGTGTAAACATGCACAGCTATGAAATCCGGATGCTTTCCCAAGCTAAAATGGTGACTTCTCAAGAAAAAGGAGCTCAGGAGAGAGTTTCTACAGCCATCCCCCACAAAATCAGGGATAACACCCACTGCATGAAGTGCTGTGCTCGTTGTGGGAAAGGGGGGGCGTGAGCTTTGGGGAGGAGAGAGAAAAAAAGCTGCACAACCTAGCCTAACCATCCCAGCAGATCTCACACTGCACCCTCGTTCCAGAGCCCACTGAGACTCCACTAAGCACAGGAATGCCAAGGAAGGAGACAGCAGCTCAAAGGCAGACAGCAGCTCAAAGGCTGCTTTACAGACTGTTAACATTTGTGTTGGTGATCCCTGTGCAGCCTCCATGTCACCTCCCCATCACACACTGCCCTTGGACAGCAGTCCAGAGGTGCAGCTCCAGCAGTGTATCCATAAGAGCCAGGTGCTCCTGCTTGGCTGCATGCCATCCCCCACCTGTTATCCTGCTGGGGAGAGCAGGAAGGTGCTGCCAGGTGTGCCAGGGAGGCAACACACTCTGCTTTCAGCAGAGAGCAAGAAAGGAGAAAGGGGATGCTTCACTCTGGGGAGTTCAGGGCAGGATCAAGGCACATTAAGATCTGGTGACACTGGCAATTCAGAGCTGCAGGATAAGTCCCTGCTCAGCCAGCTTTAAGCTATTCAAAGTGAGCATTCCCACTGCTGCAGCTACAAGGCATCAAAGAGTTATCCTCTCTCCAAGGGCTGGCAGCTCTTTCAGGGTATCAAAATCCCTGTCGTCTTTCTGGTTCTTAGCACAGGAACCACAACAGGAAGAGAGAGACTTTCCTGCATTTGCTCTCCAGGTCTTTTCTGACCTGTAAATCTGCCTCAGGAGACTGAAATAAATGAAATAATGACAGCTTCTGCTGCAATAGTCCACCTACCTCTGCTGAAATTGGACAAGTAGTAATTTTCTGCAGCAGGATAGAGGTCTTCAGGCCAAGGGAGGATGATGGGCTTTCCACAGACAGCGGGAAAACGCTGATCTCTGACCTCAGCAGCAGCTGTTTCACAACACAACCACTTCAGAAGGATTTAAGGCCAGTAAAAAGCAAGTAGCAGGGCTTAAAATATTTTCCCCATCATGCTGCACTCTTCTCACTGAGATGTTAATAAGAATGCAGCCAGAAGAGAGAGGTGAGCTGAACACTCCCAGCCTGAGCACTTGGGAAACACAGACCAGGAAAGCCCATGATCAGCAAGATCAGGTCAGGTGGGTCAGGCTTGACCACAAAAGACAACCCTGTGCTGAGTTTCAGCCAACAATTTATGCCAGACACAGCCATCGCTCCATGGGTTTGAGGCAACCTGCCTATATTTGCCAGGCTTCTTCACCTCAAAAAATCCAGGGATTTTTCAAGCCCCTTCTCTCCAGCAGATCTCAGACAACATCTGATGCTCTCTATGCTAATATGTGAATGACCGATCTTTCCAGAACATCCTGCAGGACCTAAAAGTGCTGCTGATTATATAACACAAGATCAATGACCTTTGATGGAGCAGCACCACAGGGGACATGGCCCCAGCAATCCAAGGGAACACCCCACAGGGGGAGTTGAAGCCCAGAGCTGAGGCTGGACTCTTCCCTCAGAATGGACACTCTCAGAATGCCCATCCAAGGTGAGGAAGGGGGAAGGGCACCCTACCACTTCCTGCAGGTGTCCAGCAGGATGACGTTCAGGGCTGTCTGCTGCTGCTGCATCTTCTGGAGGATCCTCTGAACGCTGATGCAATTCTCAGGGGTGTAGGGCTGGGGGGCATCAACAGGGACCATGTAGTTCCTCCCCAAATGTTCATACCCATGCCCGGCATAGTAGAATATAGCTGGGAACAGGGAGAGGAGAGAATGAATCAGGATGCCAACCTGCAGGTCTGTAACCAGCTCCCCATGGCCACGTCCCACCTCCTGTCCTGAAGGGATACTGGAGCAGGGCAGACTTAGACCAGCAGCACCTATGGAACTGGAGCTACACTGACCTCACAGTTTTGACTTTTTTCCAATGTTATCCCTTTTGGCAGAGTTGGAAGCAGCCCTGAGAGGCTCCCCTGTGCTTGTGGATTCCCACACTGTTTGTCACCTAAAGTCACAGGGTTTACGTATTTCCAAGCCTTCTGTGCTACAACACCCAGGCTCAGCACCTGCCAGGCTGAATTCCACCTTTGTAAAAAGTTTGGGTTAATCCTCAGGTCTTTAAAGAAAAATGACAACAGAAAATGATTTTACTATAGTGGAAAATACATTAACAGCCTTTTAAATGAGAAGCTCCTCATTTAAAAGAAGCTTCCTAGTTTTGGAGAAGAGCCTAACAACTGATTAGGTGATGGAAAACACTCTCCAGATTTCAAAGGTCTGCCTGTATTTATATACACCTATAAACTGGTGAAAAATTAGACAGAGATGAGAGGGAGAGAGAGGCGAGTTCTCCAGATGTCCAGAACACGTGGACCACACACTTCAACAACCTCAGACCAGACACCACCCCTGTAAGGAAGGAGGAGTCAGACCCATCCAGGTGCTGGTGGGAAGTCCAATACTCAAAAAGAATTTTGGATTTCACTCTTATGCACATAGAACTTAGTATCATTTTCTTCCTTCACAAGAGATGGCAATACAGGGACTTTCAGGTGGAAAGCACTGGGGAGCTCAGCATGGCCTAAGCTGCTGCTCCCCACTGACCCGTTTTCTGTGCAGGGCTTTCCTCCTGCACAGGGATCCCTGTGCGGGCTGAAGCTTCCCTAAAGGAAGTTGTACAGTGGCTGGTCACCCCTCCCCAGCACTGATGACATTGCTTGGGGCATGCTGCTTGATGAAAGCCAACTTGGGGAACTGAAATAGGTTAAAAATAGCTCTGTGAGGTGACACAGTTGTGCTACCTCAGTGGAGGGATGGTGAAAATTGAGAGGTCAGAAATGGGAACAAGCAGCTAAAAGGCAACAGCAGGAGAAATTCTTCAGTCTGATTCACTGCCAAAGCCCACACTTCAGTGAGTAACCTCTCCTCTGTATTCCCTCCACTGTTCCTGCCCCTGGACTTGGCAGGACACTCGCCTTGATCTCTGATTTTGCAAGGGATGTGGTGACAGGGGCAGGAGCTGAAGGACTGAAAGCATGACCTCATCATGTGGAAGATGGAAAACATGATCTCATAATCAAAAAGGCCTTGAGTCACCTTTGGTTTCTATTCTCAGGGGACAATGGAAAGTTTCTCAAATGGCTGTTTCCACAGGTGCCCCCGAGGTTTGGGTTCCTCTTCTTGTGTATCAGCAGCCAGATACGGTGAGCTCTGACCTGCAAAAGCTCTGAGCTTTTGTAACTTGCAAATCAAAGCCACAACACCCTCCCCTGAGACTAGAAAAGAGTTTAAAATAGGAAGCCTTCTGGAAAAATTAGATGCAGGCATTACAGGTTAGGCCCCTCCAGTCATTAAGCACTGGTGGCTTTCATGCCTCTGCCCCTGTTCATGCAAGGAAGTGATGACATCTGTCACCAGGCAGCATCACAGAAAAGCCCATAAAGAATGATTCAATCCTTAAATTTTCTAACTTTTGAGGTCTTGTGTACCTGAACAAACCCACCAGGTGCTCACCACACTATATAAATCCCAAAGACTGGTGTTCAAATCCAAAACTATATGAGTTTCACAACAGCTGAGCAACTTTTCCAGCCTCTTCTGGACTTACTTTCTCTTCCTGAACAGGAAAGTCAACAATTTGCTCAGAGAAGGAAAGGCCTCTTTTATTCCAAGCTCTTCCCACATCATGTGCGTCAGAACTGCTCATCATAGACAAACTTCCGAGTAACAAATTAAAAAGGGGAAGCTCCAGGCACTGCTCATAATGCAGGAAATGTCAGCATGAGGCTTAATTAAGGCATGACTCCGTATTCCAAGTATTTCACTTTCAACGTTTTGCTCTCATTGCATTTCCAATGCAATTTTTTTGACTTGGGACTTTTTAGGATACTCAAAATAACATTTGGGGGGATTCCTCATTTGCCTGAGCAGAGAATAATTTAGGTCACTCAGGGGATGCTTAGGGCCTTCAAAAATCCTCTGCAGCTTTTCTAAGAGATCTGGAGAAAGAGCAGCCTGATGACCCACCACCTCCATACCATGAACTGGAGAAGCCTTTGGATTATAGAATTATTAAGGTTGGAAAAGACTTACAAGATCACCAAGTCCAACCTTGGACTGAATCCCACCATGTCCACTAAACCATATCATGCAGTGCCACATCCACTCACTTTTTTGAACACTTCAGGCCCAAGGCCTGGAAGGAGAGGGGAAGGAGCTGGGCTGCTCTGGGATGGTCTGGAGATGGAAGTGGAGGAAGGTCTCGCAACAGCCTGGAGGGGAAGCTACAGAGACATAAATCCTTATTCCCATTGTCAGCGTGCTTCATACAACATGGGGCAGTGAGCACCAGCCCATGGAGGCTCATGTTCAGCAGTCAGCCCTCTCCTCCCTCTGTATGTCTACACAAAGCTCTCCTGATTTCAGCTGTGGTGATTGCTACACAGGAGGTGTAATGGCCAGTCTTCGCGAGCGAAGATCCGGGGAAGGTCTTTACACCTTCCAGCCTGCGCATTGGATTTTTTAGGTGAGACACAGTGTGCGCGGAACTGAGCCCACCCTTTAATCCTAAGGTTCATCTGCCGGGGCCAAGCGAGCTTGGACGGTGGCAGCGAGGTCCTTAGGACGTAGATGGTTTGCCTTTTAAGGGCTAACGAGCTCCATCTGCCCGGGAGTGGCCCTGACTGAGAATCGAACCCGGGTCTCGGCGGTGACAGTGCCGCGCCCTTATTAACAGGAGGTGTAGTGTCCAGGTAAAGCCTGAGATATGAGGGGATTTCAGAGAGCAACCACAAAAGGAAGCTGCAAGTGAAGTCATGGGAACACACTGTCACCAGGTGATACCACGGCTGTGTGCGGCCCTTCCCACCAGCTCAACCTCCCTGGTGAGTCAGTGCTTCCCGGAACAAGGTGGCTGCACACCATTTTCCTTGTGGCCATATCCCTATTATTCATTGCACAACCTTCAAACCTCCTGCTGAGCGCCAGGCTGGAACTGGCCCACACTTTCACTGTCTGGGTGCCACATAGCTGGGAGATAAGCCTCACACTGAGGTTTGGAAGCAAAAAAAGTCCACCTGGCAAAGTATTTTCATGGTATCTGTCGGGCTGGGAGAACTCAGGGACCACCAAGATGCTACTTTCACCACCAAATCGGAACACCTGCTTTAAGACCCACAAGATCTGCTGGTTGGGTGTTTGAGGAACACTTCCCACTGAGAAAAGCATGCAATAAGATTGAAGCCCAACCTCAAAGCCATCTGCAGCTAGCAATGCTCTTCTGCAAAAGGGCTGTCAGGGGCCCAAATTAGACCTTCAGGAAAGAGAAACAAGGACAGAAAAACATAGCCAGATGCAGCAGTCAGGGCTCAAAAGGAGCTCCCCTCCCTCACACAGGGTAAGTCTCAATTTTGTCATCTAAGGAAAAATGAAAACTCCTTTTCCCATTCACTATCAGAAGCACTGGCTCCCCAAAAACTCAGTGTAAGCCCATGCTGTTGGGGCTGGAGGCTGCCATGTGATGGAGAAACACTGCCTTTGCCTGGCTGTAACCTGCCCAAAACTGAACAACACTTATCCAGGGGCTTCTGCCAAGCTTGGCACCACTGCAGACTGTGTTGCAGGTCTCCCTTGAGAGAGCAAAGTTCAATTTCTTCTCTTTTAATTCAACGGCTGTTCAGAAAATTGCCAAATCCCTGCTCAGCACAGGCTGGTGGCTGGGCTGGCTTGGCCTTACCATAGACTCCCTTCCCCAGGAGCTGCAGGAACTGACTGACCGCTGTCGCCATCTCAGCCTTGTTCAGATCCAGGAGGGAGACAACCTGGAAGCCCAGCTGCTCCAGAAGACGACTCAGCTCAAACACATCCTTGACAGGAGCCATGAGGTTGGGATGATGCTGGTAGCAGTTGTTGCCCACTAAAAGTGCTATTTTGCCTGTAGCTGAAACAAACACCAAGTTACAAAGCTGTAAACGCTCAGAGGGAGGCAAGTTCTCACCTTCTCCGTTGGAGTGAGGAAACAGAAAACCTAAGAAAAGATTTAGGCAGGAAGGATAGACCCTAGCCTGCTGCAAGCCTGGAGCACCCTCCAGAAAGTCCTCGGCTTTCTGAACACTTCAACAAAATACAAAACAATCAATTTGACAGAAAGGGTTGAAAAGTATACACCTGACAGCCAAAATCTCAGGAGTGTAGGAGATTCTGCTCTTCCTGCCCTATCGTGATGGCGGGCCTGGTATGCCAGCAGTGCGTGGGAGGGGGATGCACTGAGCCAGGCTAAGGAGTCCTTTCCCTCACAGAGTTGAAATAGAGAAACCCTGGGATCCTGCTTTGATTTTATCCCCACTTCCCCACTGTAAAAAAAAGGATTTAGGTCACTCAGCAGTGGTGGGAGCGAGAAGCTTTGCCCTGCTCTGAGGAGGTATTTTAAGGAAGGGAAAAGGTGTCATGTGAACAACACTTTTAAACTCATTTGGCAGCCCCAGAGCTCAAGACTCAGTTACTCATTAGGAATAATATTACTCCACTGGCGGAGAAAGATCAGGGCTTGGCAGGGGATCGGACTCATCTTGTGCTGTGCAGCTCTGATCCCAAAAGCACAAAGCCTGTTGCAATGTGGGCATAAAGGCTTGAAGTGGTCTCTGCGGGAAAAGCACTCCCATTCCCTGTCTTCCCATCCACCCTGGAGCCTGGCTTTTAATTAAGATAATAAGTGCTCAGGAAGAAAAGATGACAGTACTCACCAAAAAACTTCTCAGACCCACATGTACCTGGGAAAGAAAGAGGGAAATGATAAGCCTGTGCCCAGCATCCAGTGCCAGGTCTGAATCCTGCTCCAACATTCCCAGCAATGCACAGCTGGATCAAACACATAGAGGATCTACATAAGCAACACTCCTGGGGCAACTTCTTCACGACCTGACTGCTAACCCTAAACACACTGGTCTTTATGAAATCCTGCCTGATTTATGACATCCTGAACAGCTGGGAAGCAAAGCCTGGAAAAGGGGCAGGCCAGGGAAGGAGGGTCAGCCATAGAGGAGCTCAAACCTGGGCTTCCTGATGTGACTCACCTGCTCCTTCACTGCAGCAAAAGCAAAGGAAACACAATAACTCACGGTCAATAAAAGCTCCAAAACAGAGTTTCTCCCCATAAACATCTGGTGCAGAGGGAGCCGCCATTTGCTTTTGATTGCAATAATATTCTCCGAGTTGTTCATCTCCCTTTTCTGACTTTCCCTGCTTTTTAGCAGTTCTGGCTCAGAAAAGCCTCCCCAAATGTGACTCACTTTGGTGAGCCCCACAAGCTTCCCTGCCCAAGCACTTCCAGCTTCTTAAAATCAAAGTTAGCCAAACAACTCCTCCTTTTCCCATTTAAATTATAAATGAATTTCAAAATTCATCCCAGGAGAAAATTCCAAAACCCTACAGGCTATAAAAGAAGAAATTAAAGAGCAGTTGCATAGATCTCATGGGTCTGGAAGACTTCTGGCCCCTGAACCAGTGTTGCTGAGGCACCAGGGGAGCCTAGAAAGTTCAGAACAAAACCACACATCCTTTTCTGCCTCTGACAGAGGCACCCGTTGCACGCTAAAGCTCCACAGCTGTAACACTCTGAACCCAACCCAACCTGGTGTCCTTTTTGGCAGTTTTGCCAGCTGTGAGGAGGCAGGCAGAGTGCTCTCTGGATATACAGGATTAATTTGCACTTTGGAGAAATTTTAAAGCCAGCTTAAAAGGCATGATGAGAAGCTTATGGCATAGAAAAATCTCTAGATGGAGTAAAGAGCCAGCCAAGCCAACTTATGGTATTCCTGCTTTACAAAGGGCAAAGGCAGGGGACCAAAGGAGAGGTGGAACGTGCCTGAGGCTCTGGGGACACATCCTTGGGATCCGTCACTCATGCAGCATCAGCCCTGAGCTGCCAGCCCGAGGGGCCTGAACCTTCCCAAAATAAACCCCATCCTCTCCAGCTCTCTATGTCTGAGCATCACTTCATCCCAGCGAGGCTAAAATGAATTTGGGCGTAAGAGCCCACTGCTATTTGGCTGTGGAACTGTGAAATCAGCACCTTGGCAAGGCAGGAAAACCACAGGGAGCAGCTGAGAGCACCAAGCGTGCCCTAACACAGCAGGTTTCTGAAAGACTGCAGAACCCAGCATCCCACCCTACCAGATGGTGCATCACCAAGTCTGCAGGGTTCTCTTTTCCAGCCACTGCTTCCCTCGCTCCCTCTGAGCCCAGATATCAGGGAATCCTATTTATCAATGCCCTTGTTCACCAGCTTGGTGTTTCCAGATGAGAGCGCTGAATTCCTTTGTACCCTCTAATTACTTCTCGCTCCAGGTGATGTGCAGCAAAGCAACGGGGGTTCGCTCTGCTCACCTACGTAAACGTCCACAGCGTTGGTCCAGTGCTCTCCGTGACTGTTGGAGGCACAGCACAGGTACGTGCCCGAGTCACTGACCTTGGCATGGGTGATCTAGACAGATCAAAAGTTAAATCAATTATTTATGGTGAGAGTCTGCAGCTCCCTGCCAGGATCTGCTGAAGGCACCTATGTTCCTGGAATAAAGAGTACTTTTCCTGCTGTTCACTGAGACTTTGCCTCGCAAAGAATGAGGACAAGAACAAGCACCAGAGCAGTACTGGCTGGCAAGGACTCTGGTTCTCCTGCCCAGGATCCTGCTCAGAGAGGGACTAAAGCCACCACTGAGTCAGGCTGGCTATAGCTCTGTCTATTCAAGCCCTGAACATCTCCAAGGACAGGGACTTCGTTGCCCTTCTGGCTCCAGCACAGCACCATTCACCTTAAAATGAACAACCTCTTCCTAGTGTCCAGCCTGAACTTTCCTCACAGAAATGCAATCTAAAGACACTGACCCCAGTAATACCATCAAATACTACTGAGAAGACACTGGATCTCTTGTCCTTGTACCCTTCACGTGACGCCCTGGAAGGAAATCCCCTTTCTTGATTCAAGAAGACAGCACTTATTTACACTCAGCCAGTGACACAACAAAACCCCAGCCCTTCTGCTGCCTCCCTGACTCTTTTCTGTCAGGATTAACCACTTTTCCTTCTAGGTCTCCTCCAGGCAGACAGCATTCCCACAGGTCCATCACTCCACAGTCCTCTGCGCAGACAGACAACAGCTGTTCTCATGCCTCTGCTGCAAAAAGGCTCAAGAGATGTGCTGAGAGCCCTTGATGCATCAGGGGATCAGTTACCTCTTCGGGAAATATCCACAACTTTGAAAGAAGCCCATAAAACATATTCCCCCTTCACCCAGAGTTCTCTAGCCAGTTACCAAAGCAGAAGGGTGATACACAGAAGACTTTCCCACAACCCTGCAACCAGCTTCTCCCATCACCCACCTCAGCAGCCAAAGCTTCTGAACTATCCCCAAGCAACCTTACCCAGAGTTTTTTTCTCTTGTGTTGTTCCAGCAGGTTTCCATTCCGGTACCACTGGTAGTAGGGGGCTGGGACCCCCATGGCAGCACACTGCAGCTGCAGTGGCTTCCCCACCTCCACGCGCTGCTCCGTGGGGTTGAGGATGATGACAGGTTCTCCTCGCCACAGCCGAGGGGGCAAACCTGCAAGGCAGCGACGTGAAATTGGTTTTCCCTCCACGAGGACAGGAAACAACAGCCATTTTTTTTCACCATCACTGGCTGCACCTTTCTCCTTTGGGAGCAATGAATCCTTGGGAGCAACACCTGCAAAAGTCAATGCCAGACAACAGACCTGCCTCTGGCTTTCCAGACCTGACCCTCGCCCTTTCCTGCCAAGGGCGCAGTCAACATGCTGAGGTCAACCACACCCTGAGTTATTTTTGGTCAGCTTTGAAGTAGCCAGATGGACTCTTCCAGTCCCAGCACCCCAAATAGCCCTAGAAAACCCACAGTGAGTGATCAGCAGGAGGTGTAGGTACATGCCAAGTTGGATGGGGCTTGGACCAACCTGGTCTAGTGGGAAGGTGTCCCTGCCCATGGCAGGGATGTTGAAACAAGATGAGCTTTAAGGTCCCTTCCAACCCAAACCACTCTGTGATTCTATGATACATCAGGAAGGTAGAAGACATGCTCATACCTCTGGCAACACACTGATGGACCTCCACCTTCACCCAGTCAGAGAAGACAGCATTTCTGTAGAGGTCATTGACTCTGCATGTGTAGAGCTTGGTCTGCTCTGCAACAATGGGCAAGTCTGGGTTGGTTGCTCCAGGAATCTGGCGGCAGTCAGACTAAAGGGAAAACACAGGCAGTGATTTCCTCCTCCTTGCTGGCAGCAGAAGGCACTAGGAAGCCTCTTGTAAGAGCAGCAAAAGTGGAAATTCGTGATTTCCTCCCTTCCTTCAGCTCCCCCACTGTGTGCAGGGACCCAGCCTGGTGCCATACCCAGGGACACATGCTCCCACCCTTACCTGATGCTGACAAAACCACTGGTACTGCAGCAAGGTGCGTCCCTCGGCTCGGCACCGCAGTGTGAAGGAGTATCCCACTGGGACAGAGATCGAGACTGGCTGCTCAGTGATGGCAATGGCTGTGGAGAAACAGGGTGTGGAGGTGAAAACAATGCAGTAGGCACAGCCCAGGGCTCGCTGGGCTACAAGGGCGGCATCCATCCTAGCAGGAAGGGAAGTTTGGAGGAACAAGGATGCTCCTGTGCAGAGGGAATGGATGAAAGGGAGGACAGATGGGTAGATGCCACGGGGCATCCATCCTGGCAGGGGAAGTTTGGAGGAACAAGGATGCTCCTGTGCAGAGGAATGGATGAAAGGGCGGACAGACGGGTAGATGCCACGAGGCTCTTCTGGGTGCTCTCCCAAGTGCCATAGGGGCGGCACGGTCACTCTTCCTGCATCCGCTTCTCGCCTGGCGGCTCCTTCTCGGCCTGGGCGGCCGCCGGCCGGATCCGAGACAGCTCCTCTCCCCGGGACGCGGCGGCGGCACCTGTGGCGAGGGGACGGCGGCGCTGGGGATGGCTCGGGCCGGACCAAGGGGCCACTCACCCGGCGCGGCGGCCCATGGCGGGCTGGGGCTGCGGCGCCGGGCCAAGGCCCGCACTCCGCCGCCGCGGCCCCGCGGCCCCGAACTTCCGCGCTCCCAGCCCGCCCCGCGGGGGCGGCGTCGCGACACGGCGGGGCTGCGGCGGCCCCGCACGGCAGAAACGGGACGGCCCTGCACGGTCCGGTCCGGCCCGGCCCGGCCCGGCCCGGCCCGACCCGACCCGACCCGACACGACTCGACCCGACACGACACGACCCCGCACGGGCTCGCGCCTCTCGCTCGGGTGCCAAGGCTCCCGCACCACCCTACCCACGAGTGACCTCTCTCCTGCCCCACAGTGGTGTCCCCCTCCCCGCCCCCTTACAGGTGTACTTGAACACATCCGCTCCCTATGGGTGTCCTCCTCTCCTTCCCATGGTGCCCCTCTTCCACACTCCTTATAGGTGACCTCATCTCCACCACCACTGCTGACCTTCCCCTCATTCCCACCACAGGTGTCCTCCCCCCCTTATAAGTGTACTTATCCATATCCCCACGGGTGTTTTCAACCCCACCAGTTACCTCATCCCCATCCCCACATGCATCCTTGTCCTTTCCCCACAGCCGTCATCACCCACATCCCCAGTTGTGTCCTCACCCCTTCTGCACAGATGTCTTTGCTTCATCCCCATGGATGTTCTTGCCCCTGTCCCCATGACCACCCTTGCTCTCATCCCCACAGCCAACTCCCACCCCCTCCCACCCAGCCCACTGCTCTCACACCTCACAGCTGCCCTCATGTCTCTCCCAGGAGCCACGGACAGAAAGGCTCATGTTGGGCCCAGCGCTACTCTGTGGGTAGGCGCATAGAACCTGCCTCCTCCTCCCAGAAGTCCCCGCCAGATGGGCCAGGCATCACAAGGGCCCCGGGGGAAGTGGTTCAGGCAGCACCAGAGGTTGCACAAGCCCCTCTGGGAGGTAAGGGACACAGCGGAGCATCAGAACTCTGTAGTGCTGTGCCGTGACTTGCACTTTCAAGGTTAGGGCAAGGTCAGACTCCTTAACCTAGAACTCTTCACCTTTCAAGAGGCAGCTTTACTACAATGAAATGAGCTGGAAATGGTGAACAGAGAGGACAGAGGGTGGCTAGGGAGTGATTGTCATTCCCAAAGAACTTTGAAGTGACCAGGTAGGGATAGTGGCACAAAGCCTATGGGGATGAAGCAGGTCTGGGCTCAGGACTTGGGGTGACAAGGTTCCTACTCCCAGGGCAGAGAAATTCCCAGCAGGCTGGCTTCTCCCCGATAGTTCTAGGAAGCAGGTCCCCACGGTGCCAGGAGTGAGGTGGACTAGGACTTCTGAGCATGACAGGGTACCATGGACCAGCTGACCAGCTAGAGAAGTGACTGTGAGAGACTCTCACTTCCCTGCTGAAATTTCTCTCCCCTGGGGTTATAGCTGTGGCTATGGGCTGACCAAGGAAAAGCGAGACCATCAGGGATGTCTCTCCCAAGTGGTAATATAGAAGGGCACAAGCAGATCATCAGGATGGCAGAGAGAAGCAGTTGTGGCTGAGAGTGGTCATGGATCACCTCCACAGGACAGAGCTGGGCCATGCAAGGGTCCAAGGAACTAAGCAAGGCTGAGGAATGTGCCTCTACCTCCTGCTTTTCTTTTAGAACAAATGGGGAAGAAGGTGATAGGAAAAAGCCAACCCAACACAACTAGTGGATGCAGAAAGGATTTTCTCCCTCTCTGTCTTTTTCTCTGTGCAGGATGGGACAGTTATGCTGCAAAGGCAGGAAAACCTGCTATACCCTATCCATCCAGTGTGATCCTGAGCAATCCCTGCTCTGACCAGGACTGGTCCTTTCCTTTCATGGATACAGAAAAGGTGATAGCTCATGTCCCCAGCTGTCTGAGATCACGTAGACCCTCCTTTTTCCTGACTTTTTGGGGGGCCAGCCAGGCATTTGGAAATACACACTTGCAGGTTTAATACCTATGAATGATTGCAAGTGAAGGTTCTGGCTGAATATGTGCCAGCAGCTCTGTGCCACACCTGTGTTGCAGAGTTATTATCCATGCAGCACAGGTAACTAATAAAAATGACCATTAAATTAACCTCAGTACTTTCCCAGAGATAAAGATGATGATTCTGGTTGACGCAGCATCTCTTCAAACAGCTGGAGGTTGCTGCATTCCTTGTAGACTGTTTCTCTAGGCTACAGAGAGAGAATCCTCCTCCAAATACATGCTCAAAAAGTCTGTCATACTTGTCCTCTATCAGAGCCCTGTCCTGGCACGGTCTGTGTGAATATCTGGGGAAGAACCAGGGATGAGAGCTTGTTGGCAGAGTGCAGGAAGAAGCCTGTGATTTTAGAAAGGGAGGAACTTGTGGGCGCAGGGAGGGTAAAGGGAAGAATAAATTGTGCAAGAGGAGAGAGAAAACATCTGCGACGCACTGTGAGTCAGTGCTGGATTTGCAGGCAGAGGAGGAAAGCTTTGCTAACAAGGACTGAATCCTTGTGGCTGGCTGGCTTAGGCTTCAGCAGCTAAACATGTTTCCAAAGGAGACGGGAGTAAAGGAGACGGGAGCAGAGGGCACTGTCACTCTCTGTGAGCTGAATGACAGGATAGCAGACATGAGAGGAAGCTGTCCCAGCAGGGATAGGCACAAGAACCATTCAGAGCCTGAAAGGGCAGAAAAGAACACAACCCCCGTGCATCTGGGGGGAGGATCAAACACCACAGCAGGCTTTGTCTTGTCACATCTGAGCTAAACCTGCACTCACCATACAGGTTTCCCTCCACTGCTGGGGTGAGGCACTGAACCATGTTGTATCCAGGGTGGGAAGGGACCTCTGGGGGTCTCTGGTCTAGTCCCCCCCCCCTCTGAGAAGGATGTCAATCAGCTGCTCAGCACCTTGTCCCAACCACTGTCTCACAGGATGGAGGTTGCCCACTTCTCTGGGCCCCTGTGGTACTGTTTAATCTTCCTCACAGGCCAATTAATTTTCTTAATATCTAATCAGAACTTTCCTCCTTGCCACTTGCATTTTGGCCTCTCAGTCCATCACTCTGCATCTCTGAGTCTGTACCCTCCTGTGAGGTAGTGAAGAAAACAAGGAGGTCTCTGTTTAGCTGTCCCCTGAAGCCTGAAACCCTCTCACCATCTCCTCCTACGTCAGGTGCCTGAGCTCCCTCAATCTTCTTGGTGGCCTTCACTGGACTCATTCCAGTAAATCAGTGGCTTTCCTGTATTTGGGAATCTGCAACTAGACATAGTTCCAGGCCCAATGCAGAGACCTACCTGTTCTAGATACCCTTCTCAGGTGGTCTGGACTGTGTTCTATCAGATCAACATGCCAAGAGACTGCGCTCATGGTGAGATAATGTGTAATTCGTATGCTGGGGCTTGAATTCAGGTTTCCTGAAGCTGTGGGACCTGAAAGTCCTCCTCCTCCTTTTTCCCAAGAAAGGGATGGTAGCAGGAGAATGCCACAGTGCATCCTCCCAGCCCAGCATCCTCCCTCCCACATTTGAGTGCAGTGAAGGGTGTGAGATCAGGGCACACACAGTGAATATTCTTATGTCGCTCAAACACTTCTTGAGCCAAAGGTAGTGTCTTCATCCTGCATAAACCTCAGGAGATTTTCCTTCCACAGATTTGTCCTGTGGATTTTATTAACCCCTACTGACCTTGAGCAGCCACAGCTGTGTGTGGGAGCAACTTAATGCCAAGGGGAGAGAGGAAGCATCTCCCTTTTACTGACTTTACCTCCTGCTAATTTCACTTGATGCCCCTGGTCTTGTTCTCCTCATCCCTCACAGCTGTTTATGCATCAGTCATGGCACCTTAGTTCATTCTCCCAGGGTGAAGGTTCCCAGTCTATGTAGTTATTCTTCATGCAGCAGCCAGGCTGGACCTTGGCTCATCCTTGCTCACCTTCTTTGCGGTTTAGGTTTGGAGGTTTTTTTTGGTATACTGTACTCTGTTAGAGATGGATTATTCCTAAGTGGCATTAGCCAACACAGAGCTCACTGCTGCCTGTCTAAAATGACTATTGTGGTTTCCTCAATGGATCATGTTACATTTGTTTTATGCAATTTCATCTGCTATTTCACTGCCTGGAGAAGACAAGGTCTTCAGTCAGCCCTCTGGGACCACCTTTCCTTATATTTCTTAGGATGACATCCAAATGTCTTAGGAGGTCCATCTCCTTTGCCTTTGCCAAGATCAAGTATCTTCTCTGGTATCATAAATTCAGCCATTTATATGCCTAATAATGTGATCACCTGCCACCATAGTGCACAGGTGATGCACACACTGTGTGTGTGCACACCCCAATACCTGTATAGGTGATGGACACTGTCTGTGTCCCTGCGCACCCTCGTGCCAGTGCCTATCCAAAGTCACCCTCCAAATCACAGTGTTAGCTGGGGAAAAGGAATCAGGAGTGTCCTGCTCCAAGTGATCCATCACCTGCCCCCTGATTGCTGTTGTGTCCACTGCCTCTCCTTCCCCAGGAGAATCAGCTCAAATCCTGTTCTCTTTTCCAGTCTCTTCTCCCTGCTCCTGCAGCAATCACTGCTGTGCAGCTGCGGGCAGGCAGTGATCCACAGTGAATCTGCTCCATCCATTATTCCAGGGCTGGAAGGATGTGATGCCACCAATGATGTGCTTGCGGCGCGTGATGCAGCAGCTTGACAGGCAAGAGGAAGGCAGAACAAGAATAAATCAAATTTTACTACTCATTAGGTTTTCATTTGGTATTAAATCACTGCTGGTAATAGTTTGTGACATGTATTCCACCTTTTATAGCCCTGCTTTGTGCTGTCTTTTCCATGGAGACTATAAATACCATCACAGACCTTCTTCTGAGCATCCCGAGATAAAGAACAGGCTGCCAAGGCATGAGACCCCAGTGTGAGGACATGACTGCTGAGTGGTGCCACCAGCCAAGGGTGGGAGCCTCATGCCTGCAAGAAATCAGAGGAGGTTACAGCTGATCCCGAGAGATCATAGAATCATGTGTTATAAGTAAAATGAAAATGAGTTCAAATATAGTAATAAAAATTTATCGAAGATTTATATAAAATGCAAATAAGCAAAACAGCATGCTGGGTGGCCGGGGAGACCCCTGCTCCACTCACGGTCCACAAGCGCAGTAGGCAAAAACAGTAATTTTTATGCCCTTATCAATTCCCCTCCCATTGTTACTTGTTGTCCCCCTATTGGATCCAAGCTTGCAGGTCTGGTTCTGGTTGGCTTTTTTGCAGGCTCGTCTCAGTTGCCAGGTGCTTTCCCCTCCATTGTTCCAATCAGTCCTTAGACCTTGAGGCCTAGTGTGCAGGCATCTCTAGATGTCCATCTTGGATACCCTGTATCGTTTTAGTTCCTGACCCTTTGGTCCTTGTCCTTCCTTCCGTTACTTTATGCGTGTTGTGAGACAATAAGCTTTTTAGAAGAATAAGATACAAAACTATTTACTTAACAAGGCACCAATAGTTTGTCTTTCTAGCTCAAGAATTGCAAGCTACATGCTTATCAGCTTACAATGCTGATAGATTTATGAACCATTCTACAACTTATAGTCTCCTAACCGTAACAGAACAGTGATTATAATAACACATATATATATAAGAATATAACACGCACTACAATTTAATGAGTAAACTTCTATTACTAATTTGATGAGTAAATTAAACCACTATTACTCATTACACATGGAATATCCTGAGCTGGAAGGGATGTGCAGGGATAATCCAGTCCAACTCCTGGCCCTGCACAGGACACCCCAACAATCCCACCCTGTCCCTGGAAGCATTGTCCAAATGCTCCTTGATCTCTGGCAGCCTTGGGGCCGTGACCACTGCCCTGGAGAGACTGTTCAGTGCCCATCCACCCTCTGGGGGAAGAGCCTTTTCCTGAGATTCAACCTAAACCTCCCCAGACACAGCTCCAGCCATTCCCTCGGGTCCTGTCAATGATCACCAGAGAGAAGGGACATTTAAAATGTGAGAAATTCCCCTAAAGGTGGAGGTTATTATTAAAAAAAAAAAAAAAAAAAAAAAAGGTAGACTTCTTCCCCAAAAGATGAAGTGGAACTCGCAGCCATGGGGAGAGAGAGAGGCCGGGCAGCCAGCTCAGAGAGGCCGGGCCGTGGCCGTTGCGTCACGTCCCCGACACCCCGACTGACAGCGGCATGTGCAGGGTCGCTATAAATGCCAGCGGTGACTGACGGGGCGGGCAGCCGCGGGCAGGGGCAGCCGCCGTCCGGCCGCCGCCATGGGCTCGACCCGCCGGGCCCTCTACGGGCGGGGATCGGGCCACGCCGACGGCGCCGAGGAGGCCGAGAGCGCGGCCTGGGCCTCGCGGCCGGACCGGCGGAGTTACCTGCTGGGCATCCGGCCCCAGAACAGGTGAGACCGGCCGGCCCGGGGGAACAGGTTGCTCGGGGGATGTCCCCGGTCTGGCCGCTGCCATGGGTGCGAGTGACACCGGGGACGGCGCCTGGGGGAGACGCGCTGAGGCCGGGCGGGGGCCGGAGGCGCGGGGGAGATGGGCCGGGCTGCCCGAAAGGGCAGCAGGGCAGGCGGGACACCTCCTAGGCCAAAAGGCAACGCCCGGCCCCAAGCCGAGCTGGAAGTGGTGTGGCCAGCTGGGCCTCATCATCTCACCATCCCATCTGGGGGCTCTCCCCACGGACCATTCCCGAGGGGGAAAAGCCAAGTGATGGCTTAGGCTCTCCAGAGGAGCTAGTGGGCCCCGGGCCAGTCCCTCTTTCCCCCTGGAAAGAGCTGCAGGTGTCGCGGTTGTTGCCGGGGCAGGGGCTGTTGGTGTCGCGCATCATGTGTAGCTGGGTGGGTGTGTGGAGTCATGGAATCATAGAATAGACTTGTGCAATATCTTGGGCTTGAAGGGTCATCAAGTCCAGCTCTTGGCCCTTTACAGGACAACCCCAACAATCTCACCCTGTGCCTAGGAGCATTGCCCAAATGCTCCTTGATCTCTGTCAGCCTTGGGGCCATGAATACTGCCCTGGCGAGCCTGTTCAGTGCCCAACCACCCTCTGGGGTGAAGAAGGGTTCTTCACTCTCTGGGCGAAGAACTTTTTCCTAATATCCAACTTAAACCTCCGCAGACACGGACAGCTCCAGCTGTTCCCTCAGGTCCTATCTCTGGTCATCAGACAGAAAGCCGCAAACCCTGATGAGGTCTTGGTCGATGGCTTCCCTGTGAAATCTTGACAAACATGAGCATCTGTTTCTCCAGTTAAATTCAGGGAACAGCAGTGACCTTCCTGCCTTCATTGAAGTGAAGCTGCTCAACACCAGACACAGAGCGAGGGGCCACATGGGTGCCTTATCTTACTACCAAAAAGGCATTTCTACAATGTAGATAGGGGCCAACAGCAATAAGAACAGCATTCCTGGGTCAGGAATGGCCTCAGGCAGAGGGTCTGGAGTAGAAATAAGGTTTTGTTCGCTGGGGAGAAGGTATGATAAACATGCTGTCAGTTGAGCCTGACTGAGGGTAGCACACAAAGAAAATACAGGGCAATGTGCCAGTGGAGTCGAAGGTGTCAGTGATTGTGTGAGGTGTTCAAAAAAAAGCCTCAAAATTGCTTTGAATTCACTGGGAATGTTCTTCAGTCTCCAAACAAGTGTGCCTTTTCCTTGCTGATGGTTTATAAATAATCCATTTCCAACGTGTCAGGCATTAATGCCTCAAAGAGTCAGACATTCTTAAAAATAAACACAGGACCAAAAAAGGTCATAAAGACATAAAAAAGGGCTGCTTGGAAGTTAGGTGTTAAAACTGGGTAACACCA